GTAGTTGTTTGGTGAAAAATACTTATATTTGTAGACGCTAGTTTCAAGTCGCCCCTGGGTCTGCGGGTGTCTATGGGCGACGGTAATCACTTACCATGAGGTGATCCGTCTGCTCGTTTGCCTCCTGTCACATAAAAAAAGTTAAATAGGCCTTTTTTCAGAGATTAGTGTAATTATTTTCATTGAAATTTTTCCAACGTGCCATTTTCGTTCATGGTTTGACTCTATGAATCGAAACTTCCCTGTTAATATTCTCAATTTTTAATTCATTTAGGTACTTATCCAATACTTATTGGTTTACATCCATAGCGAATGTATTTAAAGCATTGGTAGGTACCTACTGTTCAAGAGCAGTTGATAATTAGAATCCATAATAATGTCTAGTAATAAGTATTATAATTCAAAGGCAAGCTTTATAAATATTCCATTGATGTTTTTCATTTAGAGCAATCCTTGCGTAGGTGCTCTAGCGTTTCAGAGCTTAGGAAGGGCTCTACAGGCTCTACATAATTGCTTACATTAGTTTATTTTTAAATATTTTAATTTATTTATCAGTAGAAAGTAACTTGTTAATGCAATACATACAGTACTGTTTGTTATTATACAACACAAAATGTTTATTAAAATTAGAATTTTCTATTTATGGTACACAAACGTTTTCTATTTACATGTTTGTAATAATGCATTCACTTTATGTTATGCATGTTTAGTTATAACTACTTAGACGATTGAATAATTCGCGTACCGATCTAGTTCTTACTTCTTACTCACTGAGTATTTTGAAAAACCTGAAGGAAAAAATACTTACTTTTCAGTGGCGTTGGTCGCATAGTTGATTGCGTTTGCGATGCTAAACTACTAGACTGAGATAAAGTTTAATTTTATCGACTAATGATTGAAGCATGACAAACATAACAATAGCCTTAGGGATATAATTAATGTATATGGTATGAGAAATACTTCTAAATAAATTGACGCTGCGAAAACGTGACCATTTAGGGACGAGTCTAAAACTCAATTTCTACTTAAGAACAAAAATGTGCTGGAATTTTGAAGTGAGAAAATGGAAACAAAAAAGATAATTCCCTCCAAAAACGTTTTCCTAATTTCTGCAATTAAGTAAAAAGAATTGCTAATGAATAATTATAAAAACTTATTGTTTTTGTCTGCTTACCGAACTCGGTGACTCCATCACCCTGATATTTGCAGTTTATTTTGATGTAATTTTTGCCGAACGGTGACTAACGCTTGGTTGTTTCTTTGTCATAAATACTTCTGAATTCTGACTAATCTCGTTGTAAAGCCTTGCAAATTAAGCCACTGTTCTAAATAATCAATTATACCTAAAGAAACAATGATTTGTTTTTATTATTACAAAATTAAATTAGTCTGTTTTGATTAAACTAATAATAATAATTAATACATACTTAGGTAGGTAGGCAGGCATATATTATTTGTGTAAGTATCCTTAATAATTGTTGTTATGCTTGACAATAGTCAGTTAAGCTTAAAGCAGAGATAGAGATATCAATGATATTATTATAGTCATTTTTAATCATCACTACGTGATCTCTAAAACATTTAAAAAGACAGAATCCGATAATTTGATAAAGATTCATCTTTGTCGGGTGTAAATCTAACAATCTTTCTAGAGATAATCTCCCGACATTGACATTACACGATTCAGTCGAAAAATTATAAATAATAGAAGGTGATTTATAAATAGGTACATATAATGAATTCCTAAATCCCTATTTCCCCGCTGTGTCTGATATTGTATCCTAAAACACGCAAACGTGCGCCATTAGATAAAAATAAATGTAGGTAAATTAATGTAGGCTTACTTGCCAATAGTTTTTAAGAATGTTTTCTTATTCTTTAATACTTAATTTTTTATCGACGCGTCCCTGATTTGCGCGAAAATTTTCCAAAAGTCGAGCGATTGCACTATGCGCGTGATCGGTGATCTAATCGCTTTCCAGAAACTTTAGTATGTTTTATTGAAAAGACAGCTTATCGCGTTCGAGTTATTATACCGATATACCACTCGAATGTGATTATCATAACACTGATAACCCGATAGCTATAATTTTATAAGTAATGTGACTAATATTGGTGCGAAACATCACATTGCATTCACATGAGTAAAGAATTCTAGTGCCTACCAGTCGTTCTCGTACGAATAATAGGTAGGTAGGTACTTTAGTCATTTATATGCTTGTTGTTCTGTAGGCCACCTTAGACCCTGAAGCTTTCAGTTTCATTTTTATTTTTTATTCTCTTTCAAATTACGTCAAGCAAAAAAATCCGTTTTATTAATCTACCTATGCCCGTGTATTTTTGATCGGTGTCAAATCGGAGTTTTTGGTGCGGGGTGCGCGGGTGTTGCTCGCGGCGTGAAGGTCAAACGCCCAAGGTCATTGAGGACTCTAATCGCCTTAAGCAAGCATTGTTTGTGAATACGGGCGTTAAACTATTTTGCCAGCCAGTTCCTGATAGAACTCAATTAATCACTGATTACCATATATTTGATTACATATCTTTGACACGATCTGAAGGCAACATTAGAACACGAAAAAATATAATTAGAATAAGGTCCACTGGCTCCCACCAATAAATATAGACAGAACTATAATTATAATCTTACGTTAATGTTCTACAATATTTATATGATTAAGATGTGATACGTTAAGTAAAGTATTAAATATGGCTCGCCTTATCTGAAGGATCATAAAGACTTAATGATAGTTATAACTTATTATTTGCTAAGCTATACAGACCACGGTTACAGCTATGGCTTACATAAATTATCAAGTTTTTCATTTCTAAGATAATGTGAAACTTGAATGGTCAAACTTACACTCCCAAGGCTGAGCAAAATTGTGGAAATAAATATTCAATTTGAGGTATGAAAAAAATAAACACTCCCAACAGCAAGATAAAATAAATGAAAAAAAATCGATATTGCGCTAATGACTAAATAAAACCCCCTATTGGGTATATGTAGAGCTTTTACTATGGTGGCTTTCACTAAAAAAAATCTGATAATTACACTCTACAGTATAAATGGGCACATTATTACTTTATAAAGAAAGCCTTATTATTGTTAAAATAACGTAAACAAATCAAGTCAGAATCAAAATAATCCATAAGCGTGCCCCGAACTATTATTAGCACTGATATTTCTTCTGTACCATTAAGAAAACCATACAGTCCAGCCTTTATTGTGCCTTTTCACATACAAAGAAGCAATCCCATCCCAATTTGGCGTCGGGGCGATGTATGCCTTAACCTATTGCCTCCTATTGTTGCATTTACATTCTAGACGCTTATCAATGGTTTTACAGCAGATCTAGACTTACTTTAAGGACCGGATTCCACCAAAGCGGAGCGGAGCGGAGACGAGAGGAGATGTGTAGCGAAGCTGGCAGGCTATTTCCACTAATGCGAAGCGGAGAATAGCGGAGAGGAGATGCGTAAGCTGTCAGTCTATTGCTGTCTATAGAACACCGCACCGTTCTGCACAGATCCGATATCAAATTCTATAGTAATTAATGACGGCTGGATAGCTACCACCATCTTACCCAAGTCTGTCGCTATAACAACAATGTTAACAGCATTGTTGTGTTCCGGCAGTTAGAGGTAAGATAGCCAGTTCCTCCGTGCTTGAGGCTTCCGGGTGAAGCTCGCTTCCACCTTCGGCCTGATCATCACTTATCATCAGGTAGATACAGGCCAAGAGCTTCCTCGTTGTGGATAAAAAATAAACTAGTCACTTCTTTTCTCTTTTCCGCTCGATCCACTTCCACCGAAGCGGAGCGTAGTGGAGATGTAGAAATAATGAATTCCGATTGGTTAATAAAAACACTTATCTTCTCTGCTCCGCCCTGGTGGAACCGGGCCTAACTCTTCTGACAGTCTGGTTATTCTTAACATTCTGACGGCTAATTGCTATTCAAAGTTTAATCGATTCTGGGTCTTGGTGTCATTGTATTGCAAATCTGCGCTAACTGAAATATACTTACAACATTGTTGCATTCATACCCTGTAAAATATAACCCAATTCGTAAGACAGGTGTCAAAATCCATAATCTCTCTAGCTATCTCTTTCTAACGAGTAACTGCATTGTATTTTGGAATAGGTAACTTTAAACGCTGTTAACTTCAAGTAAGATACGTGCTACGTCTGTCGACAGGTTTTTCATTCATGTTGCCTGTTACAAAAATTATGATCAAATAGGTACGTCACCCCTCTTAGCCCATTATTTTTCAACCGACTTCAAAAAAGGAGGAGGTTCTCAATTCGACCCGTATGTTTTTTTTTTTTCTATGTTTGTTATGCGATAACTCCGCCAATTATGAACCGATTTGAACAAATCTTTTTTCGGCGTATAGGTAATACCTCAAGGGTGGTCCCATTTAAATTTAATAATAAAAAAAACAACCCACAAGGGTGGAAAATTGGGGATGAACTTTTTTATACGCAATATCTCCGCCGATTATAAACCAATTTGATCGATTATTTTTTTATTGAATAGGTATTATCAAAAGGGTCGTTTCATGCGAATTTGAAGAAAATATTTCACCCCCAAGGGTGGAAAATTGGGGATGAACTTTTTTATACGCAATATCTCCGCCGATTATGAACCAATGTTTTTTGGTCTCAGTGTACTGCCTACCTTCAGTGGTAACATCAAGGTTATAATTAGTTAACTAAAAAGCAAGAAATAAGTAAAATTTTATAAAAAAAAACCGACTCCAAAAAACCTACACTAAAACGTAGAAAAATAATTACTAATTACCTACTTATTTATTAGGACGAATTATTATTATTTATGTAGGTATACCATGATTGATACTTTTGGAGTCGGTGCAGGCAAACTTTACATGTTTCATAATCTTGGCACGCGTTGCATAGCACGCGTTATGGTCCTTTGGGTAACCTTGAGCCACCATATCATGTCCATAGTCATTAAGTGGTACATACATAATTATAAAATATGTTTATTGAGGTTGCTGGCGCTGGATGCAGGCCGCTACCAACCGTGCAATGTGGGAGTCATTGGCGGAGGCTTATGTTCAGCAGTGGACGTCCTGTGACTGAAATTATGATGATGTTTATTAATGTTTTATGGTAGAAAATTAATATCTTTTTTGTCACCAGGCGGTCGATTCTGCTCATTCTCGCCTTGCATAGAGCAAGTGCAGCGGACGTGCTCAGCGCTGCAGGAGCACGGCTTCGAGGAGCTGACGACGATGGAAGTGCTGCAGACCGAGCTCAAGGTCACCAGGAGGACCGTGCCTGTGAGGGACTTGTCCTTCTTGAGACACAAGGTAAGTTATAGCTAGGTAATAAGATTATTAGCTAGCAATATTTTCTTCTCCAGGTTAGTTAGTATTGGTTAACTTTGAATTCATTATTACACAAAAAGTGACTGCCTAAGATGTGATCTGATCCCACACACTTATCATTTTTCTACAAAAATTTAAAGATACCTAAGATTATGATTGATGTATTGTGTGCAAAAAGTCATGAGAGAGCTTTCCGCATATGTTATAAAAATGTTTAATATTATTTTGTTAAAAACTTACCTAGTTCTAAAATGTTCCCATTTATTTCTCATTCGAAAACTAAAATTACTGGCCATGGTAAAACCTTAAAATCTCAAGAAATGTATGAATCAAAAAATATGGTTCTCTGAAACCAACCTCCAATTTACTCGATGGAAATACAACGAGCCATTCCTAGAATTGAACACAAGTTCCCGCGAAATTGAAACAATTACGAAGTGCCAAGAAACGCACGTCACTCATGGTGGGTCCTTGAAAACGGCAATTCCGAAAGCAGCTGAGCTGAGATTGACGGCGAAGAATGCGAGCGGCACATAGACATATATGTACTAGACATGCTGTGGACAACATGTGTAGTACTGTTATAGATGTTATAGCTAACCTAAGATGAGCGCTATTATATCGTTTTATCGAAGCATTTTATCGATATTAGACGACGACGATATTAATATTAGACCATACATTTGTCATCTAAAATTATCGATAAAATTATACTGTGGCGCGCATCCTTGGCCGGCTGAACTAAGATACCTACTGCTCACTAGGGTTGTGATTGTTATCATAACTTAATTTTAGTCGATTGTGAGCGAGAGAAAAGAGAAGATGTGACAGCAAATCCGCGAACACTGTCGACAAACTCGTAACACTTAATTTAACGTTTAATGAGCAAAACATAAAACGTTTATTGTTTACGAGTTTTTTTAAAACTCTTTAGTTTGTCTAGTTACTTAGAAATCTTTGGATCACTATAAACCCACTGTAGCACTGTTTCATTCCTACATTTTTGTCTGTGCTAAAACATTGCCCAGAGCGAATGCAATTCTCTGATTGTTTGAAAGTGCTAAACATTTTTCACACATCAAAGAAAAACACAGTGAGAAAACGCCATGACCCCAACAGTGCCTGACCTCTAACGATGGCTCACGTATGAAAATTGCATTTTCTTTAGCACTACGAAATTGCCGTAAACAACTCAACCGCTGATGGTCTCAATTCTGGTGCTCTTTGAATCTTAATATTCGACGTCTCGCTCCCACAACTGAGCTAGTCTCTTTGGGGAAAAGGACGGGGTGTTTTAAAGATAATGTGAGGCCAGGATTAAAGCCTGTATGACCTCGGCTATACCTCTTATTACTTAGTAAGTTATGGCCAGGCCCGCGGACGCGTCGCGGATCCATCAGAGCCTAACGAGTAGGTAATTGACAGCGAGCGGCGTCTAAACACACGCTGGGGTTATTGTAGATGAAAATAATTACTAAACTAGCCCTTGCATTCTTAGATATAGATTAGATAAGTATTTTCACAACTAAAAAGTCTAATTACATAAGTGAGATAGGTAATTGAGTTAGGCAATTGAAGTCTTTAAAACTGCTATATTTATTGGTATACCTCAATAAATAAAATAAAATATTCGTTTAACTCTACCATAAGTTTAAATCTAAGTAAATAAATAAATAAATTCTACTTCCAATTGATTTTATTTTGATATCGTTAAGTGGACCAATTTATCTATATCTATATATATAAAAATGAAACCCGTTTCGCGTTGTCACGGCATCACGTGTGAACGGCTGAACCGATTTCGATAATTCTTTTTTTTAAATGTTTGTGGAAGTCCAAGGATGGTTCTTACGGAAAAAAATATTAAGAAAATCTCTACGCTAAGGCGGTACGAAGTTCGCCGGGTTAGCTAGTACTTATAATAAATCTGTAGAGAGGTCAATCCTGTACATGAAATATATTTTCAGAATAACTATCAGGGGGTGATTAGTGATCGATACTGATGCCAAAAATGCAATCAGTAAAATTTTTGTCTGTCTGTCTGTCTGTCTGTCTGTCTGTCTGTCTGTCTGTCTGTATGTTCCTTATAGAAACAAAAACTACTTGACGGATTTTAACGAAACTTGGTACAATTATTCTTCATACTCCTGGGCAGGTTATAGGATACTGAGGAATTCCCACGGGAACTGGAATCAGCGGGAAAATCCTTTTGTATGAAAAATCTAAACCGCTTAAGTTAGACACTTGAAATTTGGCATGCAGGTACCTCAGTAAACTTAAAGCTTATTTACAACAGGATATTGCAAAATTCCCACGGGACCGGGAGTTAGCGGGAAAAAACATTTGTATGAAAAATCTAAACCGCTTAAGTTAGACGCTTGAATTTTGGCATGCAGGTACCTTAGTAAACTTAAAGCTTAGTTACAACAGGATATTGCAAAATTCCCACAGGAACGGAAGTTAGCGGGAAAAAAACATTTGTATGAAAAATCTAAACCGCGTAAGATAGACGCTTGAATTTTGGCATGCAGGTACCTTAGTAAACTTAAAGCTTAGTTACAACAGGATATTGCAAAATTCCCACGGGAACGGGAGTTAGCGGGAAAAAACATTTGTATGAAAAAAGATGAAGGGGGGGTAAAACGAGATCCACGCGTACGAAGTCGCGGGCGGCCGCTAGTTATGAAATAAAATAATTGAAAGCGTCTTACAAAGTAAGACTAATAAATTCCAGAAAAAGCTCACCGTTTTTACTCAATGAGACGATATTGCAGATTCTTCTGAAATTAAACTGCTGTGTTCTATACTGATCCAGTGATTTTGATTTTAAAGAATCTTCCTCGATATTTTCTCTCAAATTTTTTATTTTTATAAAACAGACTTGTTTGACTCTTCCTGACTTCGTATCATTACTTGTGTCATCTTGAAATCTAAATGGGCAAATATAGAATTAAATAATCTTTAAGATATTCCCTGTTATAAATACAAATTTTACCAGCATAATGGGGCAATATCTAAGTCTAATTAAAATTATATGCTCACAACATTTAGTTTGGGACTAGAAGCGCAGTGTAAAATGTCCAAGGATATTTATTTATTTGCTCATTAAAACTCTGCAGTGATCCACAAGAATGGTGAAAACCAAGGTTGCAAATGGAAGGTATCAATCAAAGGGCAAACACGTCTTCCCTTCAACCGTGAATGGCGCATCGGATATGAATGGCCGAACACACGGATATAGAGCTGATCCGACGGATAATTGGGTATTTACGGATATGTGGACCCTTATGGTAGGGTTGCCTACAACGTTAATCTCGTTTTTGTTTAAGATAGTGTCAAAAACAATAAAGTAGCTGCTGCCCTCGAAGATATGAAACTGTCGTCGTAATTTGCATTCTCATAACTAAAAAATTAATCTTTTAAAGTATCATTTCAAATTTCGATAGAATTGAGATAATAATATAAATTCCTTATAAGTGACAAGCCAGCAGCTGACTGCTGTATGCTGCAGACTATGTAGTGCTTATTTATTTCCTAAATTTGAAAATCAGTCCATGACGCTTATAATTTCAAACATTGCATAAACATTTTGACTTACTCGTAATTGGCTTATGCTGGATCAAAATTCAAAAAGTTTGTCACACTGGTTTTAGTTTGTTAAAAGCCTTCCTAAACGATAGTTAAAGATATGCTGTACTCTACTTAAATGTTCAAGAAATTATAAATCTGGCAGCCCTACATACAGCTGACTGCACTCAATGCGCTCGTTCATCTCGGATGGACGTTGATTGAACTTGTAAACTTATAGATGGGAACTGTCCTTTTTCGTACTACTCCAATATGCGCCTCAATGGGGCCAGAAATCACAAGTGTATGGCGAACCACCATTGACGTTATGGGCGATGGGATTGGAATTAATTGGTGTGTTTTGATGGCGAATTAAGCTTATGTTAACGATTGAATGTTAGGATACTGCCTTATCTTTTAACGCGAAAAAATATACAAGGCTAATAAAGGCAAGAAGGCCGAGGACGGTAGAAAATAAAACAAAATAACATACTGTAATTATTAGTAAAATATCTTATTTAGTTACCTGTGAGGAATACCTTGGATATTATACCTTTTCTCTTGAAAACTGAAGAGTGATATTATTGTTTTACTATTTGATAATAATAACCTACATACAGTAAATCGAGAGAGTCAAGTAAAAAGCGAGAGTCGATTGAAAGTAATGATCCTCTATCTATCACGTAGTTTACCACCTTTGGAGCCTAATATAGCAGATGTCGAATTGGTATTCCAGCAGATACAATAATGTGTCAGATCAAATTGCAATAACCATACAGAGCAAGCTGACGTATCACCGGTGAACCCTCGATACGATCATATTCCTTCCATGATTTTAATTCAGACACTATTTCCACCGTCATAAACTTCACATTCCACTACCAAAACTGGGTAGTATCGCCTGAACTCCTCGATATGATAAGTTTTCAATTTCGCAAGGATCCGTGGTTTGGCAATATTGTACCTTGCTGTGACGTCATAGAGTGCATTAAGGGGTGACGTCAGTCGATATCGGTGACATATCGGCCGGTGGATACGTCACGCGCGCCGTTTGTCGCGAGCGGTCACGTTTCGTGGACGGTAGCTAAGGGATGCGTGTTGGTTTTTTATCGATATTCTTTATGTGGCACGATTGCTAGCGGTGGAGATACATGGAAGCTCATTCAATCCTAGTGATAGACTAAAGCCGCCTTTAAAAACCTTTTCTTCTCTTGGTACCACTATACCATTATAAGAGTTGATAAACCCTAAATTAAGAGGCGATATAAAGGATGATGACCTATGATCTTAATCTTTTTTTATCCTCAACAATGAAGGTCTTTGCCTGCATCTCACTTGATGGAAAGTGATGATCAGGTCGAAGGTGGAAACCGGAATCCTCAACTGTCGGAACACAACAATGCTGTCAAACCCCC